AGGGAAGGAATAAAATAAAAAGGACACAGTTGATACAAAAAAAAAAATCACTGAGAAGATGAAAGGAGAGAGGGTGGTGGAAAAGTCTAAGGGGAGGGATCCTCCACACAACAGCAGGAACCAGTGTCCAGAGACACTGACTCTCTCCGTAGCTGGGGCTTGAGAGAAGGTGGACAACAGAGGCTGGCGATTACTCCCTGTACAGCTTCAGGCTAGAGACAGATTTGTCAGAGCCTCCTCGGCAAAGTACTTGATGTTCAAATCCTAGGTCTCTCTTGTATTTTGGACATGTGTCAGGAGAGATCAATCCCTGGAGAAGGATATCATGCTTGGTAAAGTGGAGGGTCAGTGAAAAAGAGAAGACCCCCAAAGAAGTGGAGTGACACAGAGGCAGCAATAATGAATGGACTCAGAGAAACAGCAAATAGGAGGGTGATGCACAACCCGGCAGTATTTCCTTCTGTTGTGCACAGGGTGGATTTGAGTTGGAACCAACTCAACAGCACTGAATAACAACAGCAACAGGCATACCACAGAGATAATGAGGGTTTGGTTCTAGAATATTGCATTCAAGTAAATATTATAAGAAAGCAAATGGCACAAATGTTTTGCTTTCCCAGTTATAGTATAATCACAATAATATCAAGTCTATTAAATGTAAAATAGCAATATGAAAAAAATGGAAATATTGTCAGTTATGAAAATGTGACATTGAGACATTAAGTGAGCACATGCTGTTGAAAAATGGTGCCTGTAGACTTGCCTACTGCAGGGCTGCCACGAACCTTCAATTTGTGAAACATGTCATATCTGTGAAGCACAATAAAGTGAAGTATAATAAAATAAGGTAGGTCTGTAATGAACCATTATTCAACTATAAAAAGAAAAGAAAGTTCTGATACATACCATGACATGTTTAAGCCCTGAAAAGATTTTGCTAAATGAAATATGTTAAGACACAAAAGGACAACTACTGCATGTTGTTATTAGGTGCAGTAAAGTTGGTTCTGAATCATAGCTACCCTATGCACAAAGAATGAAATATTGCTGGGTTGTGCCCTGGCCCCACAATTGTTTGAACTCATTGCTTCTGCTACTGTGTCAACCCATCTCATTGGGGCTCATCCTCTTTTTTGCTGACCCTCCACTTTACATATGATGTCCTGTTATAGGGACTGGTCCCTCCTGATAACAGGCCCAAAGTATGAGGGACAAAGTCTTGCCATATTCACTTCTATGAAGCACTCTGGTTGTACTTCTTCCAAGAGAGATTTGTTGTTCTTCACAGGCATAGAGTCTAGGATTCACAACACATCAGAGAATGGAAAAAATATGACTAGAAGGGCCATAATAAATAATTAGCTGCCCTTCAGGTGTTTATTAATCATCAATGTATAATATTGGTTTTGATGATTTTAAAACTTTGTCAAAGTTTAACATTTTCAATAGAACTGTATTGGCTACTATTATGGATTGGATTGTGCCCTCCCCTCCTGCCCTCATGGCTAGGCCATGATTCTCAGTATTATTAATTATCCTCCATGTGTGATCTGACGGATGGTTAATTATGCTGTGTTGTAAATCCTCACCTCTGTGATGTTGAAGAGGTAGGATTAGATGCAGTTATGTTAATGAGGTAGAACACAATCTATAGGTTAGGTTGATTTTTCAGTCTGTATCTATTGAGACATGTTGTTAAGTGCCATCTAGTCTGTTTCAACTCATAGTAACCCTGTATAGGGTTTCCAAGGAACGGCTAATGGATTTGAACCACCACCTTGTAGGTCAAACTGACCTTGAGGTCCAGTGCTTATCCTCCAGTACCACACCAGGACTCCCTTTTGAGACATAAAAGGGATTAAACAAGTTAGCAGAGGGACCTACTACTACCACCAAGAAAGAAAGGGAGCTGAGAGCATCCTTTAGATCCTAGGGTTCCAGTGCTGTGAATCTCCTAAACCCAGGGGAAGATGGATAGGGAGCTCCCGAGGGATGACAAGTTCACTGATGTTGAAAGGAGTAAAGGACCCTCCCCCAGAGGCACAGTGAAAGAAAGCCTTGTCCTTTTAACTATGAGTAAATTTTAAACTATCAAAAATTCCTGTTTGTTAAAGCCATCAATTTGTGATATTTGTTATAGCAGTACTAGATAACAAAGACAGTTTATACTTATCAAACCTTTCCAGGGCTTTTAAACAAAAATGCGCTACTTAGACATATGTAACCAGTAGCTGTAGTGTGGAGTCCTGGTGTGGGGCAGTAGGATAAAAACACGCTCGACCATAAGGTCGATTTGAACTGTAATGTAGACGGTTCAAACTCACCAGCCACTTCTCAGAAACCCTACACAGGGTCACTATGAGTAGACAGCACTTAACAAAAACAACAGTTGTGTAGAATTATTCATTATTAGCTTAAGAGAAAGAGGATAGCTGAGGTCTTTGCCAGATCAGAACAGGCCTTCCACTTACATTTGAATTTCAGATAAACAATGAAATATACCCCAAATATTGCATGGGACATATGTTAAATATACAATCCCAGGTCAAGATAACTTTTGTGATCCTGAGGATCAATTTCTTAGCGTTAGTTTCATATTCAAAAGAATGAACTGTTAAATCAAACTAATGCTTGGTATTTTCAATAACCTTATATGCATGCAGAAGCTGGACAGTGAATAAGGAAGATTGTAGAAGAAGTGATGCTTTTGAGTTATGGTGTTGGAGACTATTGAAGGTGCCACGGGCTGCCAAAAGAACCAACAGATCTGTGTTGGAAGAAGTGCAGGCAGAGTGCTCCTTGGAGGCCAGGATGGCCAAACTTCAACTCTCATACTTTGGACATATTGTCAGGAGGGACCAGTGGCTGGAGAAGGATATCATGTTTGGTAAGGTGAAGGGTCAGAGAAAAAGAGGAAGACCCCAGAGAGATGGATTGGCAAAGTGACAGCATCAATGGGCTCAGGCGTGGCAATGATAGGGAGGTTGCCCAGGATCGGGCAGTGTTTCGTTCTGCTGTGCTTAAGGTCGCTATGAGTCGCTACCGACTCAATGGCACCTAACAACAACAACAACAGTTTAAAAGCATGAAATCAAACTTTTTCAAAGGACTGACAGTTAAGAAAATGAGTTTGAGTTTCGCTCGCTGCCTTCCAGCAGGGGTGCTTGGCCGGCTTCGGTGACAGCCTAGGCCACCGTTCCTTCTGCACTACCAGTCCCGCGGTAGCTCAGTCTCCAGCACGTTCCTTCGCCCACCTCTTTCCCGAGCACAACGATCTTCCTCGGACTGTTTTGGACGCTCCGGGCTTCCGCTGCCATACTGATCAAGTGACTCAGTCACGTGATCAGCGGTGCTGTCATTCTGTATCCGTTCGGACCAGCTTCCTTCTGCTTGTTCCGCGCCGGTAACGTCTCCTTGGTGTCCGATCCCCTTCACCTTTCGGCTTTCAAGTCTCCTGACCCTCAGGCCTCTCACCCGCCAAGAGACGCCGACTTGGTTTTGACTCGACGACTCAGCTGGGTTGTGGTGGCAACGCCTCAGGCCGCCGCCCCTCCGCTGCCTCCTTTGGGTGCGTTGTAGGGTCCTAAGGATTCGCGACGTAAGCCTGCATCCGGGCTGTTGGGTCTCCGGTACAGGCCCAGGTGAGCTGACCGCTGCGGTTTCTTCAGCGTCCTTGGTGCGTGCTGGTCTCTAGCCGCTAGAGCATCCGCCTTTACCGGTTCTCCTCCAACTCCAGTTCTCAGATTTCTTACCTTCAGGCCTCTGCTAGGTTTATGAGACTGCAGATCTTTCTATGTAGATGGAAGGACAGGCGGCAGGAGACGGGTGAAAAGTATACTTTCCCCAGATCGGGTCACGACCCTGACCATGGCCAGCTGGAGGGGAGAGTTTTTCAGCGACTTAGGGAGCCATCCAGAAACAGCATTGGCTCCCCTATGGGCTAAGCCTGCTTTATTCCAGAGTTTCAGCCTGCCCCGGAAGGAACCTGTTTGAACCTGGGCCTGCCAGTCCTCGGAACTGTTGTTTAGGCAACAAATCCTTAGATGTAGAGCTAATGTTCCAAACTGACTAAGGTCATTGGGACCTTGGAATAAAATTATGTGTGTTGTGTGCCCATGACTATTAGCTTATATTTTGTGAACTGGCGCCCATGTTTTGCACCGTGATAATATCAGGTGTAAGGTTTTTTATGTCGTTTGGGAGTGAGATTCACTGAAAAGCTATTATGGTAGATTCCGAAATTCCGATCATTAGACTGCACTTCTACTACTGACTCTACTTAAATTGTAATGGGTATTTGTTGTAAGTACCTCCGCCCCAATTGCTTTTGAGAATAATATGAAGTTTGGTTATAAAAGGAAACCTTTCGTCTAAGAAATTACTTTTCCACTCTAGATACTTTAGTATGAACAGGTAATGCAATACTTTTAGAAATGGTGTATTGTTGTTGTTGTTGTTGTGAAGTATAGTATGTATTTTTTTATATCACTTCATAATGATGTTTAATAAACGTTGTGTAAAGTGCTTGGCCTTAGCTGTTCTTATTTTTGTCAGAAGAGGAAAGTTGATCTGAATTGTATAAAGCGATTAGCATGATTTCTGATATCATCTTAAGTGATCGCTTTAAAGTATTATTGCAGTATTAGCAAATAATTTTTTAAAAATTTCACATCTTTCCTGAATCAGTAAGCCCTATAGAAACCAGTTTTATGAAGCAGTGCATAATTGGACAAGACTTGAAATACCTTCAGACATAATCTTTGAGTTGATTATATCTCTGACATTTATATCAGCTTTATTGGCATTTGCCCACCAGCAACTCTTGAATACCCTGTATAGGATCTCTGTGAGCTGGCACCAAATCGATGGCACACAACAACAGCAGTTCTTAAAAGTGATAATGATAACAATTATTCTTAAAACGATGACAGTAGTTGCAAAAAAAGTAATAAAACCTGTAATCTCTTTTTTTATTTTGCATCTAAATTGGAGACCTGCATAAAAATATTGAAGATCATAACATAAAAGTTAGATGACCAAAATGGACATCCGGGGTGCTGTGGATGCTGCTGTCCCAACCAATATTATTGCTGCTAAGGCTGCAGAAGTTCGTGCAAACAAAGTGAACTGGCAGTCCTACCTCCAGTAAGTACTGACTGGCTGTGAATCATGGATAATCATGTGCTTCTGCATTGGAGTTTTTTCATGGTCATGCTTTTATGAGAAAAAAACTGGGAAAGTACTAATAAATATGGAAGAAAATGCTTCCTCCTCATGATAATTAGCTGTCATGGGGAGACAGTGTGGTAGAAACAGCTTGTGCTCTATTGGGGGATCAGAGTAGCCGATGGTATTTTTGATCTTGTCTGTCTGGAATGTTGTACTTTTTAATGAGTGGGAAATGTGGGTGGAATGTTTGTGAGCTATAGTAGGAGGATGGGCTTATGGGCAAAGCTTGCCACATCATCCAGTGAGCCCTCATGATCAGAATGGTGATGGATGATGTAGTAGAATGGCTTATGTTATTGTTAAGTGACGTTGAGTTGGTTTGGACTTGTAGTGACCTTGTATAGGGTTTGGCTGGTGAGTGCCACACCAGGACAACTAGTGAAAAAGCAGATATTTTGCACTGGGAGATTTGAGTTTGAATTTTGGTTCTTTTCTCTACTAGTTTGGTGATCTTAGGCAAGTCATTTAACTTCTCTTAATTTTAATAAAGTAGATGTGAAATGGGGATACATTTCCCACAGGTTGTGAAATATGTATTTTAAGTATTGTTGCTAGGTGCCATTCAGTCTATTCTTGATACAATAGCACCTCTGTGTGACAGAGTAGAATTATGACAGAGTAGAACTTCCCCATGGGATTTTTTACGCTGTTAACTTTCTGGGAGCAAATGCCCAGGTCTTTCTCCTGAAGAGCAAATGTATTGATATGAACTGTCACTTAGCAGCTGAGCGCTTAACTGTTGTGCCACCTATTTGTACAGTTTAATATGCTCTCAATTTTAGTTCTTCCCCATCTTTCTAGTGTATGTTAATATTTAGTATGTTGTTTTAGTATTTGTAAGTGTTTCTTTACTTGTAAAGCAAGCTTTCATTCATTCATTTATGTATTTTTAAACTTTTTGTTGTGAATTGAGTGAAGGTTAACAGACAAGATCATCAGCTTTACATTCAACAAATTACACACCTTGTTTTATCGCAATAATTACAATCCCCTCCCCGTAACAACAGTTATCCTACCACGTCATTGTGGCTTTTTATACCTTTTAAAACTTATATTTCTCAACTGAACAAAGCAAAAATATTTGATGTACACATACAAAAAACAATATATATATATATATATATATATATATATATTCATTATTCATTTAAGTGTCCTAAGGGCACAGCCTTACTTAGTTTATGGGTCTAGATCAGAAGCTTCTCTATTTCTCCATGCCATTGTCTCTGCACCATCTCTGCTGTTGCTGTTTTTCTAGGTAGGATCTCACATTCCAATTGTGTTCTTCCTTCTTGATGGTCCTAGGATCATCTGTTTGTGAAATGAAAGATGAACTGCTCCCCTCCTTTAGTTACATATCTACCATTATAGTTGTGACAAACACAATTAATCTTGCTAACAATTACTTACAATTGAATCCTAAAATCTTATCAGCATCATCCCCCATTCCCTTTCACCACATTCAGTTGGTGGAGAAGAAAAGTATTCAGTGGGGATTCTACCATAGCCCCCTCATTCTGAAACTAAGCACATTCGTGAAAGTTTGTAAGCCAGCCACTTTGTACTTTTATAGCTTTCATTTATTTTAAACCACATTTTAATAAAATTTTGACATTGGATAGTGCTGTCAGATAAGCACTGGACTATTAATGTCAAGGTCAGTGGTTCTAACCCACCAGTACTTTAATAGCATCAATATTTGTTTATTTTGATATATTTATAACAAAGTAGGTTATTAGATAAATTTAGTTTAGATTTGTACTTATATTTTAAAAAGTAAATTGAGGAATCTTTAGTTTTATGTTTAGTGGTTTTCTTGTAAGAGGAATATATAGTGTAGAGAAATGACCCTCTTATTTCTGTTGGTTTAGTCAGCCATCAAATGTGTATAGAGCACCTGCCAAGTCTGAGGCATTTTCCCTCAGGAACTCGTACTCTAGTAGGGAAGTCCAATTCAGATCTCTGAGTATGTTAACTGTGATGATAGAGAGATGCTTGGGTGCACAGAAAAAGGACAGCTAATCCTACCTCCTGGGAGTTTTCTTGAGGAAGGTGATCCCTGAACTGAATTGTAAAGGATGAGTAGGATTTAGCTATATGAAGTGAACAGACAAAGTGAGCATAGAAGGGGAGAAGACAGCATGCTGTGTGGAGGAGTAAAGATTATTTTGGAGGTGGGCAGGGGGCAGAGCTGAGACTGGACCAGCAGCCTGTGTGTGCTCATGAAAGCCCTGGGTGTAATTGGAAGGAGTTTGGATTTGATTTTGTCATTCCATGCTTTTCAGGGTGATTCTTTTTTTTTTTTCCTAAGGGTAGACTGAATTTATTAGAATATTTGCAAACAAATAATATCTACATGCTGAGTAAGTATAGTAAAGTATAACACTGTTGATGCTGGATAGCACTATAATTAGAATAGAACTGCTCCTATAGTTGCTTAAAATAAGTAAATCTCCTCTTCTTAAATATGTATGTCATTTGGCAAGAAAAAAAATATTTCCACCCTCTGTCAGCAGAAACTAATTTTGAACACATTTAAGGTAATATATTGTGGTGCTGCGGGTTAATGTGCTGAACTGCAAGATTGGTTTGGACCTCAGAGTTGGCAGTTCAATCAAGGTGATTCATAATCTATAAAACTCATGATTGATAATGAAAGGAAGATTGGCTTTCAGTGTTGCCCCATAGGAGCACATCTTTAGAACGCTGCCAGGATGATTTTAAAATGCAAGTCAAATAATCTCACCATTCTCCAAACCTTCTAACACCTCCTTGCTCTTTCTCACATAGCAAGCTTAAAGCGACCTTGGGTTTGGCTGTACATTTTTCTAGACGTGTTCTCCCTTTAGGTCACTTGACTCTAACTCAACTCCATTCAGGTTTCTGTGCAGGTATCCTCAGAAAGGCATTCTGTGTTTACCATAACCACAATACTTCCTCTCTTCCATTGTTCCTGTCTCTTTCTAGCCCCTTGCTAGGCTTCAGTTTTTTCCTAGCATTACCATTCCCAACATTATAATGATGTATGTGTGTTTGAAAATTTAGTTATCTTTGTTGCATGGAGGGGATTGTAACCATGGCAATGAAATGATATATGATAGAATGAATGTAAAACTAATGTTCTCCCATGTAAACTGTCACATAATTCACAATAAAACCTTTATAAAAAATTTTAATTTAGCTTTGTACGTGTATATTTTCTGTTTGTGCCCCTGGAATACGAGCTCAGCAAGTGAGGCTGAATTCATGGCTGTGTCACTTCCTGCTTTTTTCATTTTCATTTTTAAATGCTTTATTGTGAATTGAGCAAAGGCAAGATCATCACTTTTATATGTAACAAATTATATACTTGGTTTCATCTCAGTGATTGCAATCCCCTCCATGCAAACAGTTATCCTGTCTCCTCCCTCTGGTTCCTATCTTCATTCCACCCACCTTCCCATCCCTTCTCAACTCTGTCCCTAGGCAAATGTTGCCCCCTTGATTTTGAATGATTGGCCGCTCTGTGGTGAGTATACCTTACTAGAGTTGATGTCCTGCCTATATACTCATCTACTGCTTTACTGAAAATTGGTCCAGGGGAGGAGTTCCTTCCCAGACCTAAAGGGTGATTGATGGTCATAGTCTCTGCTTCTTCCAATCTCTTTCTGACCAGTAAGCCTACTCTTGTTTTAAAACATATAATACTAAATTTTGTTCCACATTTTCTTCCATAGTATCCCCGACCTTCTAATGTGATCCTTTTCAGAGTTGTTGGCCGTGGTAGCCAGGCCCCATCTAGTTCTTCTGGTCTCAGAGTTGTGAAGACTGATGTTCACATGGCCTGTTAGTCTGTTGGACTAATTGATTCCAAGCATCTTCAGTTCTCATCATTTTTCTTTTTTCCACACATGGAGACACTAATAGTTACATCGGTGTCTTTTGTTCTTAAAGGTGCTTGGCATACTACTGATTGCCAAATATTGATGATCTATAGGGTAAGCTCTGGACTGCGAACAAGGTGGGCAGTTTGAATCCACCAGCCCCTCTGTGGTAGAAAGATGAAGCCTTCTGCTCCCACAAAGACTTATTCCTCAGAAACACTATGTAAGGTTACTATGGAGTCAGAACTGACTCAACAGCACTTAAAACAACAACAACAATTACTGCCAGCTGATGAAATCATGACTGAGCTGGGTAGTGGTAGAGATGAGTGTTTGGAAAAGGAAAACAAGGGCTGGATAATGAGAGGCCTTCTAAGTGGTGTTAAAGATGTTGGACATTGATTTGGTAAGTCATGACTTTGTTTTCATAGCAATACAGTGCTCTGGGTTTTTCGATCCTTATTTTAAAAAGGAATAGATAGCTGTTCAAATAGATTAAGTAACAAATACATGCTCACATAACTTTTAGTTAGTGAATTGATTTAAAAGATTTTCATTGAAAACCTCTGGTTAGGTGCTAGGTAGACCCGTCATCCAAGTCCATAGTCAGCCTGATAGAAAAGGAAAAATGTGATCAGGTATATGTGTAAGAAAGCTGCCTGGTAGTGGATCAGAGGGTGATTGCAGGAGGCTCAAATGGGCAGCTGGGGCCCTGTTATTACAGGGCTTAGGGGACATAGCCCTGCTTTCTCCAGAGGCAGGGAACAGAGAGGAGGGAGACAAATTGCCAGGGCTGGTGCCTGACAGGCTCTGGGTTGTTATAGCAAAGTCCCCCAGCTGCTCAATTATGCAACTGTCAAAGGAAGACTCTAAGTCAAAAAAAAGGAAAGAAACAATTTAGGTTTTCTTACAACAGGTGAAAGGAGGTCAGACTTGAGAAGGAATGACTGACCAAATAAAATGCATAGTTATTTAAAAGGAAAAAAATCAAACAAAAACACTGCAAAATTACAGGGTACCAGTATAGAGGGTAGTTTATGACGTGGAGTAGATAGAGCTCTTGGGGAGAGGTGGTAGAACGAGAAACAGAGCCTCATATAGACTCCAGGGCACAGGATTGAAAGAGACTACAGGGGGCTGGTCTGAGAGGAGGGGACGAATCACGGGGAAGATAGGGAAGAGCATGGCAAAAAGTGGTCACACTGTCACCTGACACTGAAAGATCTAGAAAGACAGGGACTTGGTAATGAAGAAATCTTTTGAAAAATAAATGCATGGAGAGAGTTAAGAAAATCGTATTTTAAAAAAAGAAACATATGGTAATACAAAGTTATAGTACTTAAAGGAGTGTAGAAATGATATGAAAAAGTACAACAGTGGATTACAAAGTCTGGAAGCAAAACAATTTAGTATATAGTAGTAGTACATAGGAGTCCTGGCATGGAGCTGTAGGATAAAGCACTGAACCGCAGTCTCTTTAAATCCCAAAGTCATTGGTTCAAACCCACCAGCCGTTCCTTGGAAATGCTATACAGGATCACTGTGAGTTGGAACTGATTTGACAGCACTTAACAACAACAGTTGGTGCCGTCGAGTCAGTTCCGACCCATAGCGACACTGAATAGGGTTTCCGAGGAGCAGCTGGTGAGCTTGAACTTCCAACCTTGCAGTTCATATGGCTTTGCAGTCTGGCGCCTTAACCTACAGCACCACACCAGGACTCCAGCAACAACAGTGGTGGTGGTGGTGTGCCATGGAGTTGGTTCCGATTCATAGCATCCCTGTACAGGGTTTCTGAGGCTGTAAATTTTTACAGGAGCAGAATGCCTCATCTTTCTCCTGTGGAACAGCTGGTAGTTTTGAACTGTTGACCTTGCAGTTCACAGCCTGATATGTAATCACTACACTACCAGAACTCTTTCCAGCAACAACAGATAGTATAAAATAAAACCTGGATGGATTTAATTTTTTTTTTTGAATTTTGAGTATCTATAAATTAGTATCTTTGGAAGAGGATTGATTGTGGGTGGCAGCGGTAGGGAAGCATGAAAGATCAGTGCTCTTGTCCCGGGAGGTATTATATATGCATATTCCTAAGGTCTCCTGAGCATCGGGTAAGACAGTTCTCTGTAGCACTGCACCTGAAATCTTGGCTTGGTTTCTTCCCTCTCTTGTCCTGATCCCTCACTGCCACCCATGACCTCTGCTAGGAGCACGTCTTTAATAAATCACTTGCATTTGTATCCTTAGCTCAGCTTTTCTTCTCGGGACCTCCCCTCCCCCAAGACTGTTCAGAAAAAGAGCAACATTTCTTTATTCACATTTGGAAACTTGCCTCATATGCAGTGTTTCACTAATTGGTTTTTTTTTGAACATTAGTCCCTTAAGATAACTGGGGAAGGGGAGTGTCTAGATCTTCAAATGACTGATTTTACAAAATATCAATGCTATTTGGATGACAAAGCATGATATAAAACATTTTTAATTTTAAACTTGCCTTTACTAAATGTGTATATATATATTAGGCGCTTTTTCTTTTATGTGCATAACCACTCAGTGGAGTATGATGGGTAGTCTAATTGCCGTTTTACTGAAGTGGAAATTAGTGGTTCTAGGGGTTAGTGTCTTGTCAGTTTAGCAGGAACTTCTCAGAAGGCTTGATTTCTCTGTATATTTCCCATACACTGAAGGCCTGAAAGAGTTGATGTGAATCTGGTAGTGCCTAGCATCTTACAGAGCCCAGCAGAGGTTTTGCAAATATGTCTTTTAATAAGAGAGGGTCTGGATTTAGGCCATAGGAATGTTTCAGAGCCACAGACGCTTTTGGAGGTCAAACTGGTGTTGAAAGAGGAAGGTGAAAAGTTGAGTCTTGATGGTACAGATTTTGTGAAAATGGGGAGCCATCTAAGTGGAAGAAGAAGGCTGAAGATAGTTTGAGAGAGAGTAAAGACAGGACTGTATTGATTTGAATCTCACTGATGAAAGAGTTTGGAGAACAAAAGTAGAGAGTGAGCCTTGTGGAGACTTGTGAAGACTTGATGAGAACAGAGCTAGTAAAGGGGCCTTGGATGAGATGGGAGGCAAACAGGAGTATAGGACAACTGGGGAGGGTGAGGGATTCAGATGGAGGGACTGTTTTTCTAAGAAGAGAATATGGCTCATCTTTTTTCTGAATCTGGAGGGAAAGGATATCTTTTAGAAGATGATTGTAAAAGTTCATACAAAATGACTTTGGTCTTGTAACAAAAATGGGGGAGTAGTTAATCTTACAGTCCAGAAACAGAGGACCCTAGGACCATCAAGGGAGAAGAGTACAAGTGTAATACCAGACCCTATCCAGAGAAGCAGAGATACCAGAGATGGAGGCAGAGATGAGGACATGGAGAGAGGAAGCAGCTGAGGACTCTAGACTCATGGAAAGAGAAGGACTGAGTGCTGGCAGCCAGGAGGCAAGGCTTGCAGAATGTGCCCTTTGATTGTTTAAGTTATTATATATGCCTGAGTGTTTTTGTGTACGTTCCCCCCCCCCAACTCCAAAAAAAACCCCCACAAAAAAACCCCCAGAGGAAATGGAAGCAAATATTGTTTAACGATGATGCATGGAGGAGATTGTAATCATTGCAATGAAACGATGGTGTAAAGCTGATGTTCGCCCATGTAAGCCATCACTCAGCTCAGCTCACTCACACACACACACACACTCACACACACTCACACTCAACTCAATGGGGAAAAATGGCTTTGGTCTTATGAGTTAGGTGGACAAATACATTATTTGACTTGATTGGAAATGAGGGTGAGATTTTGAATAATGTTAAGATACAACCTTTTATTGAGTGTTTCCTATGAGCCAAGTGCTATTAATAATTTAATTGCAGCCTCAGCAAAACCCCTTAAAGTCAGTGTGGCTTTCACCCCTTTAATTGCAGGTGAATTAATACAGGTTCTTGAGCGGTCACACATTCAGTCATTGGTAAACCTTAGTTTCGAACTCAGGTCTTTCTGCTCTAGGGCCCATACATTATCTTGCTTGTTTTACTAACTAGGAGACAGATACTCCTCTGTCACTTACTCTGAGTGACTACTGAACTTCTATTGAATCAAAACAACTTATTCTTATTTTCTAGGGGGCAAATGATTTCTGCTGAAGATTGTGAATTTATTCAGAGGTTTGAAATGAAGAGAAGTCCTGAGGAGAAGCAAGATATGCTTCAAGCTGAAGGCAGCCAGGTGATTGTACAAATATTATATCATGAATGCTTCTTGTCATTAAAAATTCCAGAAAACCAAATTTAATGATTATGCAATGTTACATTATAGCGATGCACTATAATTTAACAAAATCCTCATATGGGAAGCCATTTAAGTGGTTTCCAGTTTTTTTTTGTTAATTTTTTAAAACATGTTATATTGAATAAGTTTATACTTTTAGCTGGACTTCTGGTATGGCACTGTGGATCAGCACTGGACTGAGAACCACAAGATCAGCAGTCAAAACCCATCAACTGCTCCTTGGAAACCCTATACAGGGTCACTATGAGTTAGAACCGACTTTGTGGCACTTAACAGCAGTAACAATACACTTATAGCATTTTATTTATAGCTTCTTTTTTGATTTAAAAAAAAAATTAAATTTTTTTATTCCAAGTGAGCGTATTTTACTAGTGTTATTACGTATTGCCTTTCCCATCACCCAAGTTAACACATGTCTACCCTCTAACCTCTTACTGGAGTCATGGAGTAGTGCTGTAGGAGAAGCAGTGGACTGCAAACTACAAGGTCGGTGGTTCAGACCCACCAGCTGCTCCTAGGAAACCCTGTACAGAATCACTGTGAGTTGGAATTGATTCAACAGCACTTAACAACAACGACCCTCTAACCAGTGAATTACTCTCCCTTCCCTCATACCCTTGGTGACAATCAAAGAATCTTTCCTTTAGTATGAAAAACTTTTCTTGACTTTTTGCAATAGTGGTCTCATACAGTATTTGTCCTTTTGTGATGGAATAACTTCTTAGAAGAGCTTTCTAGATGGAAAATCATCACTTCAAAGTATCTGAGGTTTTTAGAGTTGCTTTTTTTTTTTTTTAAAGAAAAGTTTTTTCCACTTTGTATCCTCAATAGCAGTGTTTGAAGTGTGTAATTTGATAGGATAAAAGAAACATCAGAAAGAAGAAACTAAGAATTATTGTATCAGATTTTCCTGGATTCAAGGTAATCTATAGTAAGAATTTAGTCTGTATCTCACTAGATGTTTTCTATGTATATTACATGAACTTTTTATGCTAATGTGCTGCTATGCACTTAACAACAACAACAGTATGTGGTTTTGGACCATGGTGTGACTCTGTAGAATAAGCATTGGACTGGTAACCACAAGGTTGGTGGTTCAAACCCACCAGCTGCTCTTGGGAAACCTTATACAGAGTCGCCATGTTATGGAATCAACTCAGCGGCACTTAACAACAGCCACATTTGATAGAGCCAGAGACTAACTAAGAGAGCCTGGTTTCACTTCAGAGCAGCTTTACTTCAGTCTGGTTGCGTAAATACGCACAACAAAGGGAAACTTCCTCCATGTAAACTGGAAATGTCTTGATTATTAAGTGATAGATAACAATCAGGCCTCAAATGTGTATGGAGTAAAGAGAGTGGGAGGAATGACAATGCAAAATGGAATGGGCATGAATATGGATCTCGTCCAAGTGGTTGGCTGTCTTGTAAATTTCTTAGCTTAGAGGACTGAGAGCTGTTGCTTAAAAAAAAAACAAAAAAAAACGTTTGGCTTAACCTCTTGTTTTCAAGATTCTTCCTTGAGGCTGTCTGTTGGATTCTAACTTATTTTATGTTTGTATTTAAATTTGGTAATACTGTTAGGCATCATGACTGATTTTGTACCTTTAAGTTCCCAAAGTTGCCTGTGCAAAGTGAATATTTCTTTTGTAGCCTCAAGATCTCAAATAAATTGCAAAACTTATTGTCAGCAAGATAGATGCAAAAATAAGAATAAATGTAGTTATTTATCAAACAACTTGAAAATATATTAGGGTTTTGATGTACAGTAACTAAAATGTTTTTATAAATGATGCCAGTTTACAATGCTTGCCAGCAGCATAGGAAATTGTCTTTTTCCCAACTCTGTCACTGAAACTGGGTCTTACCATTCCATTTTTATGTTGGTAATTTTGATAGGTAAGAAATAGTATTTTAATATAATAGTGTACATTTTTAAATATTTTTTGTGCCACTTGAGTATCCATAGTAATAATTGTTTACATATTTCTCCTCTGTAGAAAACTTTCTGTTATGTTTACCAGCTTTGTGGATATTCTATTTCCTCAACTTGCTTGCTAAATTTTAAATTTAGAGGACTTTTTGCCATATTGAAGTTTGAATTGTGCAATCACATCTATTACTGCCTCCTTTGTGATGTCTACCTTTGGCATCAGCCTTTGAAAGAGCTTTCCTATCTTGAGAACTTGTGTGTGGGAGGAATCTCATCAGTGTACATTTAGCAGGTCCTTTATGAGTCCTACCAAGATGTAACAAAACTTATTCTTGACGGAGTTACAAAAGGTTTTTCTTTACTGCAGTGTCTGCCTTTATGGGGTTGTTGTTGTTGTGAAGTGCCGTTGAGTCGGTTCCGACCAATAGTGACCCTGTATAGGGTTTCTGAGGAGCAGCTGGTAAGCTTAAACTGCCGACTTTGTAGTTCAAATGGCTTTGCAGTCTGGCGCATTAACCCACAGTGCCACACCAGGACTTTACGGGGTAGTTGCCCATAAATAAGTTTATGGTTTCATGTAAATGAAATGCTAGCAACTGGTTGCCATTGAGTTGACTCTGACTTGTGATGCCCCTGTATGTGTCTGAGTGGAACTTTGCTCCATTGAGGTTTCAGTGGAGGATTTTTTGAAAGTAGGTTGCGAGGCCTTTCTTCCAATTTGCCACTGAATGGACTCGACCCTTCGTTCAGCCTTTTGATTATCAGTCAAGCCTGTTGAGCATTTGCAGCACTCAGGCAGTGTGTCTGCAAAGAAAAGTCATGACAGATATACCAAAGGCACTTGATATTTTTTTGCTAATCATCTGTTTACCACTTTAATGTTTTGACTTTAAAAAATGGAATAATTTATCTTGACACTGAACAACAATAATAACATGTTTTTTAAAACAATGTAACTGTTATAGGTACTAATTCTTTAAATTCCAATATTCAGTGTGGTAAATGGACTTCTGGCTCATAGAGATGGTGTAAGCTCTAGAATGAGTATGATTTTGATACGGTCTTCATTTCTTTTTAGTAGCATGGCCTTATTGCATGCTGTTCATTACATTGGTGATTTATTGAATAAGTAAATATCTCATAAAACATAATTCAATTTATATGTCCTTAGGGTTTGGAAAGGAGTCCTGGTGTGGCACTGTAGGATAAGCCCTAAACTACTAACCACAAGGTTGGTGGTTCAAACCCACTAGCTACTCTGTGGAAAGCCTACATAGGGGCACTATGAGTCGGAACTGACTTGATGGCACTTGACCACAATAGGGTTTGGAAGGTTTCTCAAAGTCTGACACAAAACCTATTGTTTCATGCATAGAACCATGTGTTTATGGATGATTTAAAGGATTCTAAAGGAGCTCTGGTAGCATAGTGGTTACAAATCGGGCTGAGAACCATAAGGTCAGCACTTCAAAACTACCAGATTTTCCACGGGAGAAAGTTGAGGCTTTCTGTTCCCGTAAAGATTGACAGCCTCGGAAACCCTGTACAGGATCGCTATGAGTCGGTACTGACTCCACGGCACATAAGCACCACCACCATAGGATAATTTTGATTATTCACTATTTGATTTGTATGCTGACTATTGAATATGACCTGAATAAGATGCATTTCCACTATCCTGTATATTTTCTGATACAAGGCCCTGGTTGTCTAAAGGTGCCTTTATACAGCTCTGATGGTTACTACAATCTTGAGAAATAATTGATAAGAAGTATATTGTTGGCTCTAGTTTTTATTGAATTCCTGAGTGATTGTCGCATAGTTGATAATTTGTAGAAGGAAAATAAGACAAAGCCTTTGGATTCCAATCCCCAAAACAGTTTTGTTTCTCAGTAGGTACAAAAGATAAAATGAAAAACAATTCAAGACCATTTATAACTTTTAATGGTCTACGTGACTGAATCTTTATCTTATCATGTGTAATCAAGAATTGATATGACTCAATTTAAAAATAACAAGCATTTGGAAAATGATCACTAGATATCAAAATTTGGATGCAAGCCAGATATGGCCCTCCCACACACCAGCACGGTATTTGTGGAGGATAAAATGTAACAACCCAATTAAAACATGGGCACAGGACACAAGCAGACACTTCACCAAGGAAGACATCTAGGCAGCCAACCAATTTATGAAGAAATGTTCATGATTAGTCTTAGAAAGATGCATACTAAAACAACAATGAGATACCATCTCACACCTACATTAACAGTGAAGTTAAAAAAAAACAGAAGACAGCAAATGCAAGTGAGGATGTAAGAGAGACTACTCTCCTACGGTGCTGGTGGGACAGTAAAATGGTTCAGCCACTCTGGAGAATGGTATGGCAATTCCTCAGAAAGTTGGAAATAGAAATACCTTATGACCCAGAAATCCCTCTACTTGGTATATATCCACAAGAAATATGAGCCAGGGTACAAGTAGATATATTCACAGACATGTTTATTATCACAGCACTATTCACAATAGCAAAAAGATAGACACAGTCTAAGTATCCAACAGTGGAAGAGTGGATAAATTGTAGTACATACACAATGGAATACTATGCAACATTGAAGAATAATGATGAATCTGTGAAACACCTCATATCTGGAATGAATCTGGAGGACATTATGTTGAGTGAAAGTAGTCAATCACAGAAGGACAGATACTGTGTGAGACCATTATTATAAAAGCTTAAGAAAAGGTTTCCAGATTAAAGACAGCAGGGTTGGGAGGGAGGGGACAGTAATTAATTCAGTGATTAGAGAGTAGACACATATTAACTGGGGTGACAGGGAGGGTAATGTATAAGAAGGGGGAAGAGTAATATACAAGAAAAGGGAAGGTGGCAGAAGAATGATGAAGATGGGTGAAGACACAGGGTACGCACAGACTAAAGGGGATAGGTGTAAATGGTGGTGGTGGTGGTTATGTACAGGGTTTCTGAGGCTGTAAATCTTTACGGGAGCAGAAAGCATTATCTTTCTCTCGCAGAAAAGCTGGTAGTTTTGAACTGCTGACCTTGTGGTTCATAGCCTGAGTTGTAACCACTA